GGTGCACGACCTTGATGTCGGACACCCCTCCTAGCGTTAATCACGGTCGAAAGCTCACGCTCTGGCAGCAAAACTTAAATAAGTCCCTTGACGGGCAAAACGACTTTCTCCACCGCCTCAACCCGAACATATACGACATAGCATTAATTCAAGAGCCGTACTTCGATTCCCGCGGAACAACGCGTGCCAACAAGCGCTGGGTGTCAATTGTCCCGCCCACGCACACCCCGCACCAAAAATTAACACGCTCCCTCATCTTCGTCAATATCCGCCTGCCCTCTTCCTCGTGGACTGCCATTCCCATCCCCTCGCCGGATGTCACTGCTATGCAAATACATGGCGCTTTTGGTACGATTCGCATTTTTAATGTCTATAATGATTGCACACACAATGGGGCGCTGGACGTCGTGCGCGATTATTTGCGCAGCCCAGAGGCAGCTCTGTGCCCGGTGTTACCTCTGATGTACATCTGGGCAGGCGACTTCAATCGCCACCACCCATCATGGGATGAGGAGAGGAATTACCACCTCTTCACGTCACAGAACCTGGAGCTGACACAACCTCTCCTGGACCTGCTTAGCCGGTACAGGATGCGGATGCCCCTCCCAAAGGGTATCCCAACTCTGAAGTCGTTTGCTACGGGCAATTACACCAGGGTCGACAATGTGTTCTGCTCACCGTCCCTCCTACCCGCGTTCATTCGATGCGAGACTGACCCGGGGCTGAAACCCATAAAAACTGACCATTTTCCGATTATACAGGTCCTGGACGTGGAGGCGGTCAGTGTCGAACATATCCCACAGCCTTTGTACCGCAAAGCGGACTGGGGGGTGGTACGCAAGGCCCTGATGGCTGAGCTCGGTACCTTTGAGCGGTGCGAGGGATACACAACCATCACCGCTGTCGAGGGGGCAATACACCGACTCGAGGAGGCGATACAGCGGGTGATACATGAGAACGTAAAGCTCTCCTCACCATCGCCGCACTGGAAGAGGTGGTATACGAAGGTCCTTGATGACATGCGCAAGGAGAGCGCGCACCTGAAGCGGATCTCATATCATTGGCGCCATGTCTCGGACCACCCGGTACATGAACAGGCTCGGGAGAGCCGCGCAAAATTTTGCGCGGCTGTCAAGTTGGCGAAGGCTAACCACTGGGTGAAGTGGCTGGAGGAGTTGTCGACAAACAGTGTCTGGACTGCAGGAAAATTCGTCTCAGCGGAGCCTTCTGACGGGAGTGCGGCACGGATACCGACACTCGAGAAGCGTCATCCGGTCACAAAATCAGTGGTGGAGACGGCGAGGACGAACGAAGAAAAGACTGAAATGCTTCGCAGGGAATTTTTTCCATCGAAGATGGAGACATCGACGGTACCACTGGACACGGTCTATCCTGAGCCGGCATGGCGGTGGGAGCCCGTGTCCGACGATGTCATTCGGCGCGCAATACGCCGCATGAAGCCCTACAAGGCCACGTATCCTGGCTCTGTGTCCAATTGTGTTCTTCTTGAAGCTACTGATCTTTTAGTCCCCATTTTAGGTCCGATATACCGGTCACTGGATGAATTAGGCCACTACCCCGCGGGTTGGGCGGATGTGCTGAGCTTGGTTCTGCGCAAACCAGGCAAGCCCAACTACGCAGATCCGTCTGCGCACCGCCCGATAGTCCTATCGAAGGGCCTGGCACGGTTGTATCATGCGAGCAAGAACCTGCAGTGCGTAACGGAAGCGGAGGTTGCGGGAATTTTCCCCAACAACCACTACGGCGCGCGCCCGGGTCGATCTACAACCGATGCAATCCATATGGTCATAAAGATCATAAAGGATGCATGGCGCGAAGGGGACGTCGCGAGTGTCCTGTGCATGGACGTGAAAGGTGCATTCCCAAGTGTCGACCTGGACCGGCTCATCCACAATATGCGGATGAGAGGGGTACCGGTGCAGCACACCGACTGGTTGCGGCGTCGGTACGCGGGCCGGACCAGTCGCATTAGCTTTGGTGATTTCACTTCAGAGCCCTTCTCCGTGGAGGGAGGACTCGACCAGGGAGACCCCCATTCTGGATTTGCCTATCTTGTCTATAACTCCAGCCTAGCGGAGATACCACGGGAGCCGCGGGGCGAGACCGCTGTCGTTTTCGTCGATGACAACACTCTCATCACGGTGGGACGCAGCTTCAAAGTCACTCACAAGAAACTCCAAGATATTATTACGCGCCCCGGCGGTATAGACGATTGGGCGGCCGATCACAATGCCCTGTTTGGTCCGGCCAAATATCAGCTTCTGGATGCGTCGCGGAGGAGGGTTCCCCATCCTTTCCTTCTGCGCAAACGAGTCCCAGAACCGCGCCACTCCTTAAAACTCGGGCCACATACGATCAAATCCAGCACCTCCGTCAAACTTCTTGGGCTTCATCTGGACCGAGAATTACGGTGGAAAGAGCAGTGCGCATCGGTCGTAGCCAAAGGCCAGGCTTGGTTGGGGCAGTTCGCAAGGCTGGCCCGGCCAACCCGGGGCATAGGTGCACGCAACATGCGGCAGCTGTACCTCGGAATATGTGTTCCTCGCATGATGTACGGAGTTGATGTATTCTTGAAGGCACCGCACCACTCTATCCTCAGCAATTCCAAGCCGCGCGAGAGGGGAGTCATGAAGCAGATTAGGACCATTCAGCGGCGTGCCGCTCTCGCAATCACGGGTGCTCTGTCATCCACCCCAACGGACGTCATCGACAAATACGCAAATCTTCTCCCTGTGGCTCGTCTAGTCGACAAAGTGCGGTTCGGAGCTGCTCTACGCCTTTCAACCATCCCGAAGACACATCCGTTATACGAGGCGGTGGTGGGTGATCGCCACCAACCAAGACACCCGACATCCTTGCACGAACTCCTCGGTGAATGCCCATATTGGGCGGAGGACATGGAGCGAATAGCGGCGGTGAGGAAAGGGTCGGCGTGGAGATCCAATATGGCGGTGAGCATACCGGGCTCAAAGGAGGCAGCTATGGAGGCGGAAGCAGCAGATGACGCCGAGTGGAAGGTTTACAGTGACGGGTCGGGGATTGATGGGCGCATCGGCGCCGCGGCTGTCCTGTACAGACGCGGGGTCGAGGTGTCGTCGATCAGAGTGATGTTGGGGCCAGCGGATCGCCACACCGTGTTTGAGGGCGAGGGTGTCAGCGGCGGCTTGGCCCTTGTCTTGCTCACGAGACAGCCAGACGTACAGGGGAGAGTGACACATGTTGTCGACAGCCAGCCGGCGATCAAGGCGACCAGTACGGCGCTTTCCACGGCGTCTCACTGGATATGGGATGAGTGGCACGAGCGATTCAGGGAGCTGCTGGAGCGGCACACTAGCATTACACTGACGATACGCTGGGCACCAGGACACAAGGACATTCCGGGAAACGAGCGCGCGGATGAGGAAGCAAAACGGGCAGCACAAATCGGTTCATCACCATGGCAGGACATCCCGGCCCCGTATCGCCCGATCCTGCCTTACAGCAAATCGGCGGTACGACAAGAATTCAATGCGGAGTTGAAGACGAAAGTCCTACAGGAGTGGCAGAAATCCTCCCGGTTCGCCCATCATTCACAGTACGACAGCCGCCTTCACAAAGGAACATACTTGGCGACAGCGGATCGACTGCCACGCAGCCTGGCCGTACTCCTCCTGCAACTGCGCTCTGGACATTGTCCGTTGGCGAAGCATCTCTTCCGCATCAAAAAGGCAGAGTCCCCCATATGCCCCTGTTGCCGACAAGCGGACGAGACCGTTGCTCACTACCTACTGCACTGCACGGCGCACACGGACGCTCGACGCGAGCTTGAGAGAGCTGGCGGTCAGCGGACGCGCGCCCTGTCGAAGCTGCTAGGAGTGCCGGCACTGTTTCCCCCCCTTTTCCGCTTCATCGCCCGTACAGGCCGTTTTCATTCCATTCACGGCGACCTCCCACCCGCACCAGAGCCAAATCAACTCACTCGGAACGAGTTTATTGCGTTACTCAACAAAACAAAGATGCCCGCCGCTGACGAAGATGGTGAAACTCATCCTGCCGACGCCCCCCCCTGACCTAAATCGTTGACTCCATCGCATGCGCCGCTCCGGAATGTCCCGGGTCCTTGACCCAGCTAGTCTCTGCTCTGCGGATTTATTTCTTCTTTCTCTTCCGTTTATATACACTAATACATAGCGCCCACTTACGGGGCCTTTACCCTACTTACATTACATACCCATCCCCATAGTGCGCATGAAGCGCTATCGTCCAAGTACGGCTCAAAGAGCGCCCAACGAACAAGATTTCGACGACATCAATGGACCAGATACTTACCTACTTACGATACACCGGTGTAGAAGTATGGCTATCATACCGTACGCGGCAAAGGCCAAATAAATCGGATTCCAAAAAAAAAAAAAAAAAAACCGCTATCGTCCCAATCGGGCGCGCAGGCCTCGAAAACCAAAAGAATTGGAAACTCAACAATCAATGGGTCCATAGCCAACCGATACCTTCCTAAACGATAACCACGTCCAAATTCCTCATGCCATGAGGTTTGGGTAATATTTGAACCAATTCCTGGGCGAATAAGAGTCAAATCCGGCTTCGATGCAGTTTCGATGTGAGCCATGGCGTAGATGGAAGAGCGCGGGGCCAAGCCAGCGCGCCACATGCAACGCTTGTATTGAAGGAATCATACCCTTTCATCTGGGACACCTCGGATGCCCAAGTTTTGGCCTTTCGGTTACCTTTCTGTGTTTATCAAAATGAGGCGCGAAAAAAAACCGTCGACCTTCAGAGACCTTCTAGAAACCTTCTCTCGGTAGTAGTGAGCCTTTCTGGATGGATGATAGCTTCCCCCACAGGCATCCGGAACAATCCGAATTTTCCTCAAGTCAGGACCCCTTGCGGATTTGAATTTTGTTAAGTCGCAACCCCTTTCGGCCTTAGTGCATTTTTCCATTTCCTTTAAACATATATGACCCTTCCTGACTATCCTACACAGCAGCATGGCGCAGATGGAAGCGCGCGGGGCCCATATTTGTGATTATCCAACCCCGAGGTCACTCGATCGAAACGAGTTGCTGCTATCTCTTTTGTTTTGCTTCGGAGGTTGCCTTCCTGCCTTCCGGTCCTCTTTTCTACCTTAGGAATCCATTCGCCAACTGTCGAGATTCAGGGATAGGAGGTACACGCACTTTTTGGCAACAACTTCTCCCTTACAAATTCATCTTGACTTCATCAGTATTATAGTATTATATACGCAGCTCATAAGTAGCTTGAGGCCAGGAAACTCTTCCGACTTTCACTTCAAGACAGTCAAACAATCCGGAATATCCTCATACTACGGAGCCTTCCATTTACCCGCATGTTCCTCATCCACTGGAGCCCCCTTGGGAGCCCTCTTGTAAGTCGGTTTCGGGTTCGGCCTGGGACGGAGTCGGACCGCAGGACCAGGAGCTTCAGTATTATATGTGCAGCTCACAAGTGGCTTAAACTCTTCCGGCTTTCATTTCAAGATAGTCGAACAGGAAGATACTCGTACTACGGAGCCGTCCACCTATTCCTCATCCACTGAAGCCTTGTAAGTCGGGTTTGGTTTCGGCCTCGGACGGAGTCGGACGGCAGGACCAGGAGCTACATCATCCGCCTCTACACCCCGAAACTCTGCTTCTTCGTCAGAGACCGCCTTCGTCCGAGAAGAGCCCTTCTTCGCGCCACGCCCACGCCCACGGGCAGCCCCGCGTTTTGCGGTCGGTCCCGCCTTAGCTTTCCCAGCCTTGGGCTTCTTCTTGACAGGAACATCATCATCACCGTCTTCTGATTGAGAATTGGCGCTGGGAGCGTCCGCCGCCGGGGATTTAGACCCATGTTTCCGTTTCTTTCGGAAATCGGACACCACTTGTTGCAACCGCTTGCTGGTATATGCTTGCCGTTTCCGCGGAGCAACAGTACCACTCCCAGTGACATCGAAGAACCCGTTCAAGTCTCCTTGCTTGTTCAACGCGCCGCTCTACGAAGACGTAAGCTATAATGTACCGCAACTGGAGAATTGACATGCCTGGCCACGCTTGCGCATTTTTTGGATGACGGGTAACAGTAGCTCGTCCACTTTGAGAGGCGACCAGCTAAGTTCGGTATAAAGGAACCTGCACGCAAATGAATGAGTTCTTAAAAAAACCACATGTGCATGGTCGCATACTCTCGGAGACCATCGAGATCAGGCAGTCCCCATTTAAAAGGTTCATCCGAGTCGTCGACGGTGGGATGGTAATAAGCGTCCCTCTGCAAAAGGTTAGATGCTGAGTGGATAATAACTATCGCCGAACTTACCACAGTAGAATTAGGCCACTCTGAAGGCAGGTAGAGATCCTTGAAGTTCTTCTTCTAGGCAATAATGAATACGGCGCATTGACACATCCCGCAATACTCACAAATCGCTTCCGGAATTTGGATTTATTATCCTCTGGGGTGTCCTTCCCGGTCTGCACCTTGGTCCACCAATCTTTGAACTTGTGTAGCCCATCCTGGCCCGGAAACTCGCCAAGGAGTTCCATCGCCACGACTGGCCCAATTCCGGGAAGTCCGTCGACATAATCGCTTCCGAGCAAGTACGCGAGTCTAATAAGCGTGTCGCGATCCAAACCCAGTTCGCGACTTAGGTCAGAGAGCAGAAAACACTCGACCGTTTTCGACTGGTTAAACATATTCTTGAACACACGCTGGCTGCCAAATAAAAACACATCCGAATCATCTGTAATCACGCCGTTCACCAGCCCCAGATGAACGAGCTCGGCGCATTGCGCTTCAGCTTCCATCGGCGCGGTGATGTACGGAATGCCAAACAAGCTCAGCATCATCTGCTCTCGGCTCAGCAATAGCTTCAAACTCGACGCAAGGCACACACCATGATTTGGGATATCATCTGCTGGTTGATGTCCTCTGAATCGCGCATGGCCGCTTTCTTCTGCGTGTTCAAGACCTTGATTTCGTCGTCGATCTCACGCCGCACTTCATCGAGATCTCTTCCCTTGACGTGCGACATGAACTGCGCAAATTCACCTTCTTCCGCGTCGGCATCCATTTCTTGAGCCGCGTCCCAGTCTTCGGCGACCGGCGACGAGGAGCGCGGCTGCGGGTGCTCCAACCCCACGATCGGCGACGGAGATCTTGACCAGTCGCTGATTGGTTCATCGTCGTCTGCGTGATTCCTCGGAGACTGTGGAGGCTCGTTCATCACTACAAGGTCTGGAGATGGATGCCGAAGGGCAGGCGCCCCAACAGACATTCTGTCTACGAGTGTCTGGGAGTCGCTGAAAGGCGTGGATGGGGTGCGGAAAGAATATGGGTCGGATGGGGCTTCGTTGTCTTTGTCGCTATCGAGGACCGTCTCCATCGCCGTCGCCGATGAAATAGGAGCTACTACAGTAACCTGCTCCGCATCAATGGAGATAGGCTCCATGTCAGTATTTGAAGAATCAGGAGTCGACAGAGGGACTGCGCGGGACGCTTCGGACTCAAAAACTGGAAGGACTTCTTCCATTTCCTCGTCAGAAACATAACCAGCGTCCGGCTGGATTTGAGGCGCGGGAGGAGGCAAGGGCGTCGGTTTTAATGTAGGCGATGGGGTCTTCGGCTGCAATAAAAAAGGCCTCCCAAATGTTGGAGTTCCAGACGGCCCGGGACGAACTTCGTCCTTCTCTGTATCCGCATGAAGTCTGGGTTGCACCGTGGCCCTCGAGAGAGGCGAGGGCGCTGCCCTCGGTTTTGCGGGCGAGGGGCTCTGGAGTAAGACTGGCTCCCCAAACAGAGAGCTCGAAGGCTTGGCTGAGGGTTTCGTCGGCGTCCGTACAGGCCCCGCATTTGCTATCGACAATGCAGTCTCCAGTCGATTTCCGTGCAGAAAGATATCATCGTCCTGCAGAGGATATTGGGAAACAGGGTCTGAAACCCTGCGTGGAGTAGTATCACCTAGCTTAGAGGACGACGCAACGGCATTGACCATCGCAGGCCGTCGCGGACGGTGCACCGCATTGGAGGCGTTGGCTTGATCAATAGATTGCTGAATCGCCAATGCGAGTTCTCCGTCGTCGTCGTCTTCCACAATGGGAACCATGTCGTTGGCCTCATCATACTCAAAGAGTGGGCGCGACGGCGGATTTTGCCTCTGCGGTGCAGACCGCTTAGGCTGCTGGCGATTAGAAATGGCCGCGAGGTTCATGGACCGTTGGTATTCTTGTAAATCGGCGTCCGGGACACCAGCACGAGGTCTAGATATGCTTGAATTAGCGCTACACTAGTGCATGAGCAATAGGCAAACATTGGGACTTCTTCCATATCCTCGTCGCCGTCATCGTCGGCATCATCAACCTCTTTATCGCTGTCCTTGTCAATCTCTATTGGCTTGTCCCGTGTCCCGTCGTCTCTAATCCCAAGGATCCACCCGCCCTCGTGGCCTTCGTTCTTTATCAACACGTACTCCCTGTTGCGCTCGCTGGCAACACGAACAGGAATAGTGAGGTTTGCCTTTCCAATGCTGTCGGTGGTCATCAGGAGCTGTTGTGTCAAGGTGTTTCGCTGACGCAGATTCTGGATCTGCTGCTTCGAAAAGTCGAGGGGTGTGGGAGCACTCTTGAGCATATTCTGCAGCCGGGCGTACGACGTTTGCCGGGATTTAAGGCGCAGGTCTCCCACGATCTCGTATTGGACTTCGGTAGGGAGCTCACGAAATGCGGGAGAGGTAACGTCAAAGTCTTCCGGACGCATATCCTCTATGAATTCACGGAGCTCGTCCTCGGTGGCTAGGCGGGGATCTGGCACTGCAGCACGAGTTGCAGAGGCAACAGCAGCCTCAAGATCGATATCTGGAAGGCGGTATGGATCATGATCGTGGAACTTGGGCTTGCTAGGGGATACAGACGACGGTTCCGAGTTGGGCTGTCGCGCAGGCGTCTTAGGCATTGATGGGTCAATGTCCTCGAGATATACAGTGTTGTCATCGAGTACGACGGGACCGGTAGGCGCTTTGCCTTTCCCTTTAGTGGGTTTCCTGGGCGATGTGTGAGACCTCAGAGATACGAAGAGAGCAACACATACTGGGCCCCCCTCGTCTGATTCAAGGCCTCTCGCCTCAGCCGAGCAGCAAACAGCTTTTCAGCTAGCTTGGCATGGCTTATGGCCGCTCCACTCTTCTTCTTTTTCCGCTCATTCTAGACACAATCAGCATGTTTGCTGTTCTGAGAGTGAATTCAACCCACAAGGGTATTCCTCTTCAAAGCTGGAGCACCTCCGTCAAAAACAAAGACAGGTTTGATGCCATAGAACAAGAGTTTAGCAATTCGCCGCAGAAAGCCGAGGACATGAGCATTTGAGAATGCACGCCCGTCATTGTCGCGCATAGTGGCTTGGAATTGGTAGATCCAGATACTCGAGTCAATGGCCATTACCTGTCCTTCCATCGTCTCGAGCCTAATCCATGTCTCAGTCATAGAAAAGGAGACGACGGCGAGAAAAGCGCGACATTACGGGTCTGCCTACGGGCGCGAGGAGTTTCCATAAGGACTTGACGCCCATTGGGGCCTGGTGCCATGAAGGTTGGCGGCAAGGAGCGCGTCCAAGACGTGACTCGATCAATTAATGGTTTGTTTGGCATGGCTTGGGTCGCGGGCATATAAAAGGGGAGCGGAGTGGAGCAATTCCCTTGGCTTGTCCCCCCTCCGACGTGTTTTGCTCAGCGGGCGCTGTGTCTCGCGCGGCTAACTTAGTGTCGTGTGGGTAAGCGGTCAATGAGACGACATAACCCGGCCGAGCCCTTTGCTGGTCCGATGGCCTTGTATTGGGCTGAGGTATGTTTTTTCTCCCTTTCATCGTCCAATCCAAGACTTGAACTTTCCCCAGGTCCTCCGCAACCTATTTTGCTGGAGGTACGTCCAATCGTCTATTTTCTGCTCAGCCAATCTGATTGCAGCAGGCTCTGTTTTTCGGGTAGCGGCATCTATACGCGCGTGTTCCTGAAGAATGGGTCAACCTTAGGTGCTCATTCACATCCTCGATTCTTGCTGTCTTTAACCTTTCTGCAGCGCCGTGTTCA